TGATATTACGGTGATGAAATTATTGGAAAGGATTTTTCTATATTTTGTAATTAAATACTATAGCAAAAACTTTGAAATAAAAACAAAAAAACATGAGTGTGGTGGATTGACAACTGACGGTCAACTTGTAACACACAGCTGAACTGAATCCGCTTGGTGCTGGATGTGGAGGGCCCACCTGAGGATTGTTGCAAACAGCATAAAAAGAGAACTGGAGAGGAAGAAGTGAGAGCTGTTGGTTCTCTTGGAGGAGCTTGTCATGCTGGCTTTCCTGATAAGAACTTAGCTGTTCTCATCAGCGGAGCTCAGGACCTTGTTGTTGCTGAAAATGGCTTTGGTTCACTTTGAGGGAGCTCTGGTCCTCACTTTGAGCATCACCTTCTGGCTCCAAAGGGGAAGATAGCACACTGTTCAGTCTCTTGGAGAAGCTTGTTGAACTGGCTTTCCTGATAGGATCTTGGCTGTTATCATCAGAGGAGCTCAGGACCTCATTGTTTCTGAGGGGCCAGTGGTATTTTTCCAGGGAGCTCTGGTTCTTACTTTGAGTGTCACTTCCTGGCTCCAGTGCAGATACCTCAACCTATTGGCACAGATACTTCATCCACCTGGCACAGACTTTCTACCTTCCACCACTGATCTTTGGGCCTTCTCAGCACAGATCCGTGAAACAGACTTGCATGAGACATTGTTGTGGGCTCTAGGCCTCCAGTTGGACTCATGGGAGCATTGCCATGGGTTCTAGGTCTTTAGCAGAACACAAGTAGAATATTGCCATGGGATCCAAATCCTGAACTGGATTCTTTGGGTCTTTAGTGTGTGGACAGATTTCCTGCACTCTTTTGTATTTGACTCTTTGGGTGACTATTACAAAATAATCCTATAAATTATGTATCCTATAAATAATCCTATAAATTATGTATTAAATTGTTTTCCTTACACACCCTGACTACAACAATGAGAAATTTAAAAAGCATTTCAAAATTATAAGTATAGACACAAAACATATTTAATATGTGAGAGTCAGCTGAAGCAGTGCTTCAAAGGAAATTTATAGCTTTAATTGCTAATATAAGAAGAGAAGGGAGATTAAAAACCTGTGATGTAATTTTTACCTCATATGTCAAGAAAATAAAGAAAACCAAACACAAAGTAAGGACAGAAAAAAAATCATAGAAACAATAAAAAATAATAAACATTGATCTGTAGCCATTGCTGTTTTTTTTTTCCCTTGTGAAATTTGTATTTCCTGTTCCTAGAAACTTAGGTATGTAAGATCATAGATTTTTGTTTTTAGGGAGAATACACCAGGGAATATAATAAAGTTTCCCATGAACTTGAAGCTACGACTGCCACCTGATCACCTAGTGTTTCTTATACCAGTGGATCAACAACAAAGAAAAAGCTACCATCATGGTGGGAGAATTCACTGATGACTACCTTGAGGAGATATGGTTGCTGCGATACAAGGTAATGGGGACAAGGAACTATCTGGAAGCTGGGGGATTACTTGCAGCCTATTGGTGCTTCCATGAATGGTACAATGGTGAACAGACCACTAGAGGAAATATGCATCTAAGCACTCAGACCCCTCAGTGAAGACCTGGCTGTCCCTTCTAGGAAGGGAGACTGGGTCAATCCATATGCTGAATAGAGGGGAAGAGAATAAAGACTGGGTGCTGGAAAACAGAGATGATGAATATTAAACACAAATGGCCTCAGGACCAGCAGCTATGGCTCTTGTTCCTCCAGCTACTGTGTGTTAAGTTGCTTGGAGTTTTTGGCTGGTTGTAATTATAAAGGGACTTCAGGATACAGGAGACTTAAAATTCAAGGATGGTATGAACACATAGTGTGAAAGGAGTCAACTGTGAATAAGTACCGCTTGTGTTTACCTAATATTCTTTCTACCAGTCTTCTTCCCCGGCTGCCACTACAGAGATCAATCCCAAGAAGATAGTGACTACTTTTGTACAAATCATTGCTTCTGTTGGACACTGTATTCCTTTCTTATGTCCTGGGCTTCTCTGATGCAATGGCAAGGGACCCCATGGGAATAGCTAGCCTTGGTACTCAAGCATCCCTAACCTGAAATGTGAGAAGATAGTGCTTCTGGGGGTGGTCGAACTATGGGTTCAACATAAAGCCTTTCTCGGATAAGTAGTTTTGAGGCATGTGTTTTCAGCTCCCTCAGAAGGTCTTATGTGATGGAGTCCTCAAAGTGCTGGTCAGCTTAATAGGAACATGTTGCTGTTTTGACTGTTCTGTTTTCTCTTTCCACTCCTCTAGCCCTTTGTTTCCTGAATATATCCCCAGAAGTAATTGCTTTTGTACTCACCTTTGTCTTTAGCCCTGCTTTTAGGGACGCCTAGTCTAGGACTCTCATCTCCATAACAGAATTGATTTCCTCTGACCACCCCCACAGAGCTGTATTTATTCTTAACTTCCCTTAGCAATAATTCCATGCAATTGAGAGTTAGTGCACTTGGGTAGGGCAATCCCACTTTGGAGAATTGCCCCTGGCCGCTTTCCCTAGAGAAGACTTTCTTCTTTGTTGATCTCATAGTCCCATGCTCCCATCCTTTCCCCTTATTCTTTCTTTTTTAGAAGTTTCAAATCAAACACATCCAGCATCTTTGAAACAAACAAACACCTAGGGAGTCTTTTCAGATTAACCTTGCTCAGCCACTGCATGGTAAATAGGCAAGATTTAGCAAATAGCCATTATACCATCCTTCAGTTGCTGTCATTTATTTTCTTTGCTATTTCAGAGTCTTGGAACCTTGTTTTCTTCTCTTTAAACGACAGACTGTTTGCTTTGGCCCTGTCCCAGAGCACACCAACAGTTAAACTCGCGGCTGTGTGAAAGAGCCGTGTTTGTTTAGAAGTTACTCAGAAGGCCGTGAGAGCAGGCGACCTGGATTTTAGGAAGTAGCCCCAGGAAACTTGGAGTATTTTCTTTCCTGTCTTCTTGCCAGAATGCTGCTTTTCCTTTGGCCAGTAGTAATTTACAACAAGTTCAAGATTTATAATAGCTGGAATTTCGTAGGATATCAGATTCATTGCTTTCTTATAAGCAATGGCTTGCCCTTAAAAGATGAGTAGAAATATCGAGGGTAAGATGACATATTTAGCTTAGAGTTCTACATGACAAATGGCACTTGATAATCTTCCAGGATCAATTTTGGAAACGTAGACACAATAACAAAGAAAAAGGATTGACTCTACCTATATGAAGAGAGATCCAGGCTGGGTTAAAAGCAGAATAAACTTAAAAAGAATACAGCAACTGCCCTCAACTGACCCACAAAGAAAAAAGAAATTAGAAGTAGGAAGCAGAAAACCAGGCGGTTCAAGGGTGAATCTGAGCACTGATAGGTAGATATTTTTAACAAAGGGTAAGTTCACATCATCTGACAGTGACTGGCAGGGTGCTTAGGGAGTCACACAAGGGTAGAAATCCAGAGGTCTGTGAGATTCTGTGATATAGAGCACAGAGTCAGCCACGGGGTTGAGAAACAGAGTAGAATCTGTCACCATTTTGGTTCATGATGAAAATGAACATTTTTCTGAGGATTACAGATCACACTGAAGAACACTTCTAAACACGGAAGTACGTTTGGTGTTCACCCCATCTGCTTGACCTCACAAGAGTTAAGGAGAACAACCAGAGACTTGGAAATGCATGGGGACTTAAAATGGTAACACACTTGGAGAAGCTCACTGACATGTACTTCAGAATGTACTGTTAGTCTGCTTGTTCCACTCTAGCTCCTGCCTCCCGTTGTTTTTTTCCTTATAAAATATTTCCTTATCTTTTTTCTTTTCTCTTTTATTCTTCCTTCTTCTTGCCTTTTTCTTCCTGTCCTTCAATCCTCCTCCCTCTCCATTTTTTTTTTTTTTTTTTTTTTTTTTTGAGACAGGATCTTACTATGTAGAAACCCAGGCTGGTCTTGAGCTCACAATCCTTTTGCCTCAGCCTCTTGAGTTCTGGGATTACAGGCATGAACCACCATGCCTGGCTGGAACATGTTACTTACATCCATGACAGTGTCTGGATTCTGCCATATCATTAATGAATCCTAGTGGCTATGTCTCACATGTTTACTTTGTTTTATCTTCACCAGGTTATAGGGAATAACATAAATTCCTTCTGTTCCCAGTGATTTTTCAGGCTTAAGCATTTCTTTTGTCACTTTAATTCATTTTTATGTGTCTAAGGACAACCGATGAGAAGGGAAAATCATTATGAATTTCACCCTAAAGATATTGAAATGGTAACCGAATCCAATAGAGGGTGACCTTTAAAAAGACTACCTTATCTAGTAGAGACCAGAATTTAACTGGTAAGAAAAAAAAATAAAGTGAAATTTCACAAGTCCAAGGGATTTCCTCCATAAAAATGTAGAGATGAAAAGCGATGGCTGTGTTATCACTAGTGTTAGCTAAGACCTCTTCAGGAAACATAAGGTACAATTTTAGAAGCCAAGTACTATGACAGTCTTTATCATTTCACCAGCATGATAGCCCTTTGGTAGTTAAAAATCAAAGATAAAATCTTGATTTTTCAAAAATGCAATTTGTTAATTAGGTCACACAGATATTAACTAACTGACAAATTGAGTTGAACTATTTTTCTTTGTATAAATAGAATGACTATCACAACTTTTCATTGTTTGTCCATAACTCTAGGCTATATGTATGTGCAAAGCTGGAACAAAATGGCCCACTGCCCATTTTTGGACAGTTATAAAAGTTTCATTCTTTCCACTTAAATTCCTAAAGACTGTCATACTTTTTTTTATTTCTAATCATTTTCCTCTTACCTACAATCTACCTTCTTAGAATATACACAGTGTTTCCCTAGTCATTTATATTATTATTATTATTATATTCTTCTCATCCTCTCCTGATTTTTCCTTCCATTTTATTACTTTCTCTTTTATATTGCTTTTATATCTTCAGAGTTTAGACAAATGAAACAGAAAGCCTACAGAACTCACCATTTCCACCAAGGATAAGTATAAGAACATGCCCGCAGTGACGGTTAAGATCCAGTCCTGGACACACGGGTCAGCAGACACTGACAGGCCAACGTACAGGCCTACAAAGGCAGTCAGAGCACTTATAAAATTCATCAGGATGGCAGTCTTCACAGAAAGTCCAGAGCTTAACAGTACCGCAAAGTCTCCTAAAGTTTCATGGAGAAAGAAGGTGTTATTATCAGTTAACCAGCGATGCCATCGTGCTACTAGGCTGTTCCAAACTTCAGCAACTGGAACCAATTTTGGAACTACAGCTCATTGGTCAGTTATAAAAGAGCTTTCCTATATTCCTCCAGAATTCACAGCCAACTCATTCTACTATCAAGAAGTTGTAGTTGGGAGTCTTGCTCCTTTTGCTTCTCCTAAATGTAATCTTTTCAGGGAGGTCTATGACATATTCTTCAGTTCCTGATGTCCGCTGGCAGTTTCAACTTAGACAAATGTAAAATAAAGTTACCCTCTGGCCTAGGGCTTCTAAATCTTTCTTGTCTGGAAACTTGCCAGGGGAAATCATGACATTAGATGGGCTTTTATGACAGGCAGGAACTGCTGTGGGGAAATGAAAAACTACTTAATCAGAGATTTTTAAATAACTGCAGAAGTCGGTGAGGAAAATAAATTTTTCCTTTAGAAAATGGCTTTATCATCTTGATAATGGTAGAAAAATGACCTTCTTCTGTCCATGGCTTTCCTCGTAATTTTCAGAGCACCCACTTCTCATTCTCAGGGATTGAGATGGAAACTGATTAAAGAGACACCCCAGTGACTCTATATCCTGGTTCCATTGCCTAATTGGTCTCATAATAGGCCCGCTGTAGTCTGTCACTCAGTCCCATGATTTAGAGTTGAAGATCAGGTGCTTCACCACTATTACAGTAAACACAAACCCATAGGCTGTGGCTCCCAGGCCAGCTATATTTCAGTGGGCTCAGGAAGGACCTTAGACAAATTCTCCAAGAAGGATGGGTCAATAATGTATTGGTGGCTGGGTGTGGTGGCACACATCTGTAATCCTAGCACTCTGGAGGCTGAGGCAGGATGATTGCTGTGAGTTAAAGGCCAGCCTAGGCTACAAACCAAGTTTAAGGCCAGCCTGAACTTCACAGCAAGATCCTGTCTCAAAAAAAAAAAAGGAAATATTGATGTCAGGACTTTGGAAATAGACCCTGAGTGCTTCAGGGAGCATTGTAGACCTGAAAGAGAAAGCATAAAGAATGGCTGCTAAGAGCCCTTTCCCTGAGACCTGTGCTTGTGCAAATCCATCTCTAATATTTTTGGGTCTGTTTGTGAAAACCGTATTTTATCCCCTTTTGGTTCCTGGAAGGCAGGATTTGAATTACAGGGCTATTAAGATTAGCCAGAAAAAGAGTCTTATGTGTATTTGCTACCATACGCTTGTCATTTCAATTTTATGCTTCACTTTAAACATTTTATATAAATTAGTTGGATGAAACCATGGTTTGGTTTTAATTTAAATGTTATTTTATCTCATTGCCCTGTGTTCTAACACAATGAGTGAAGTCCCCGTCTTAGTATTTTTCCCACATTTAATATGTAGATCTAAAAGTCCTTGCCAAAGTTCTTTAACATGCAATTTCTCTGAATGACTCTCCTCTATATAGTATTCTCTGGGATTCAGAGTCATTTCTGGCTCTGGGAAAGATCATAAAGGAGTCTATTTAAGTTTTACCTCGAGGTACAGAAATTTGAGTCCTCTTCCACTTATGGTTTAAATAAATCATAAATGGAAAGTATTCATCTTTCAGTCATACGCTGGCAAGATAATCCCAGTAAAGCATAGCTGTAATACATTATGACTTTCTCAAACAGCAAGAGCATTTCTGATTCTATTGTCCAACTTACCCATTTCATGTGGAATTTCATGACACAAGATAGCAATGGTTGTGGTCACTCCTGACTCAGATGAAGAGGAGAAGGCTGCTCCTAACACTAGGCCATCTGCAAAATTATGCAGGCTGTCCCCAACCAGTATCATTACTGCTAATAAGCTAATGGTTTTGCCTAAGGAACCAAAAATGTGTAAGAAGCATTAGCAAAGTGCTACATATTTCATGGAATCCTTCAAACATTGTCAATTTTCCCACCCACCCTTTATACCTTTATATTGCCTCTAATTAAATTATTTTACTTTCTTTCAGCTTTCAAAATAAGTCAGATGCAAATATGGTAACCACTGTGCTTAAAACGGTGGCTGTTTTCTTACTGGTTGAAATAATCACAAGATAAATTATGCCTTTGCATTCATTATTTCATCTTCTTGTCTAGCTATGCCAGAAGGAGAAAATCAAAACAATACTACAATCTCTCAGAATACCACTGATGACCTTGCTATCTTTGTCTTTTGAGGTGTATTTTAAAATAATTTAAGAGTCTTGCTGTGTTTGGAATGCTTATGTACCCCATACACACTCCATATTGCTTATGTTGAAATTTATCCTATTAATGAGATGGTATCAGGAGATAGGACTACAGAACTGTCATTAAAGTGGAGTTCGTTTCCCAGAATCGTTCCTCTGAGTCTGACAGTCCTGTGTTGTCTACTGCACTGTGCTTTCTGCCACTGTGTGATCAACGTGTTGCTTTTAATGATTGGTGCTGATGCCCCTCCTAAAATGCCTCATCGTCTCCCAACTGTGACCACAACCGAACCATGAACACCCCTTTGCCTCCCGCCATTAGCTGTGGAACAATTACTCAATGTACTTCCCTTCCTGAAAAATATCTTTCAGTGCTAGATCAGTTAAATGTTCAACAAAAGAAAAACAAAGGTTCAGCTTTCACAGCATGGTATTGCCTAATGCCCATTATCAGCTTGGGAGAGAGTTGATGAAATGATTTTGATCATAAATGGGCTCAAGTTTCAATGGACAGAACTTCTGATTTTAAAAACCTACGTTGTAAGTTATAACTCGTGATGCAGTCAAACAACTCAAAAACACAAAGGATATTTTGAGGATAACATTCCTTCTGACAGTAAACTCGGAAGTAGAGCATTTGATAAGAATAGTCATTAGCCAAGTAGCATATTGTAAACCTCCATTAGTTATTCAGCTGAAAATATACTGTGCAATAGAGGAAAGGAATAGCTCTTGTTACTGTTAGAACTGAACACATTATTCTAATAATTGCATTCAGTAGAAATAAAAAGACGTTATTTTCTGGGTTCTAACCCACACATGTGCTAGGATGGAGGGGAACCATATTATAAGGTGGCAAGCAGTTTCATTTGGGGAATGTAATTTGGTACACTGCATATCCACTTTATAAAATAGCATCAGGAAACAGCCATCAGAGCCCAGATTACCAGCCAGGAGATAGCTGTATTGACCGTGTTACAAAGGTGGCCTGTGCATTCGACTCGGAGAAATCATACATATTTATAAATAGCACTGCACAGCTAACTTACAATCTTCTTATGTTTTGCTAACTCACTCTTTGTTAAAAACTGGTGGATTTCAGAAACAGTCCTAAACATGCATTAAATTCAGGGAGTTCACACCGGCCTAGGCTTGAGCTCTCAGAGGCTAATAACAGCATCAAATCATTTGACCCCACCTGTCCATTTTTACAAATAAAGACTTCATCATGAAAACAAAAATTATTTTAATTTAAAGTGATATATTCAATAACATTATAGCATGCAAATACAGTTGTGACTTCCATGTGCCTACACATAGCTTCGATATTAACAGACTATATTCAAATGGGAGATTTTTAGAGAATATGTACTCTGTGAGGAAACGTGTGGGCTCTTTTGCTTCTGTCATTTTCTTATCTCTCATTATGGGTTTCTAAATGTCAGATTACGGATATGTAACAAGCCATGAGGCAAATATGCACATTTGCATGTAAGCCACAAAGAGCGCATTGCGGACACTTTCAGATAAACATTATTTAGTGGAAGATAGGTATCTGCTGGTAATTTAATGTACTCATTATGAAAATATCTATGATATTTTACCTTTGCCCATATACCTGGCAGGCATATTAAGTGTCACATTTCTGAACCATGGGAGGTTTTCCATGTTTAAACCTGGGCTAGAACTAATATGATTTGGGGGTTTTTTGTTTATCTACATCAGACTGTGGATAGGATTTTCACATCCTGCCTGTTGAAACTTAAGTTGAGCTCTGCCAATGAGGTAATATGAAGCAAGTCACTAAATCGTTGAAGCTAGTTCAGTATTTTCCTGGCAAAGGGGCAGTTCCATGTTCTAACTTGAATGTGTTCACTGTTTCTTCCCTATGCCATGTTTGATATCTGTAATTGGAAGATACAAAGACTGCAAAATATTTGTACAGGATGATTATTACTTCCTGATCTCGTTTCTACTCTCTGATCTTCATTTGACTGGTCATATTCTTATCTCCCTTTCCTTTTGTAAAAAAAAGTCCACTGTAGATCTACTACATGCCAGTCCCTCTAAATTAATCCTGGGATTAAAAATTTAAAAGGAAATTTACTATCCACAATGTTCTGAAAGCATAACTGAAACAAATGTATAATTACATGTTTTGAATCAAATAAATTACTTGAGTTAGTGTAGCTAAAACAATTAGAATATTCAGCATTACCAATAGTAACACAACACTAAAAAGTGTTTGTTCTTCTTAGTATTTACATCCCAAACTACATGGCAAACTATGGATAAAGAAAATCTCATTTAAGCCTGTATATATGAGATCCAAAATACTGAACGTCTTCAAACATTCCTCTAGTCTATAAAAGAATGTGAATGAAAGTATTTATGAATGCATGATGAAGGAATGTTTATAAAGAAATTGTTGGTGTATTAATATTTCTTTAGCTGCCCAAAGCTGGGGCTTATTAGCTCTGTGACCCTAAGCAATGGCATAACCACCCAACCAATTGGTTTCTTCTTTGTATGATTTGGATATTGTTTATTCTTGCTTCCTTACGTTGTAGGAGAATTGAACTGAGAGACTCCATTTCACGTATTTAACACTATGCCTAGCACATAAAAAGTGTTTAGTTCAAGGCAGTTACTTAATGGTTGTTTCATTTATCATGATAAAATGGGAATAAGTAATCATGACCGGATTAACATTAAAATATGAGGAAGTTTATGTCACAACAGATGAATATAAATGAGAAAAAATGGGGGAAAGATTTAAGATCAAAACCAAACAAAACAGAACAAAAAAAAGCTTCAAAGAATTATTCATAAATATAAGCAGAGATAAAGTTCTATCTAAAATTTTAAATTAAATTCAGAAATAATAAAAACTATAGAGGAATTGTTGATGGAAAATGAGAGAAATAAATGTGTTACAGAATAAAACATGAAAAATGCAATGTCATTAATATGAACTCAACTGTCTCAATGACACTATAATAAATGAGATAGATATTTATGTTCAATTTTCAGTTATCTTTGATAAAAATTTTAAAAATGATGTCTCCATATTTCACTGTGAATTAAAAATTTCAAACATCATATAAAAATGATTAATAAGAACCCTCACAACTATATATATATATACACCATATATATATATATATATATACACCATATATATATATATACACACACCCTACTTGCAGATTTCAGGGAAATAGTTTTAAGTGATTAGGGAAAACAGACAGATAGATAGATGTTAATTAAAGAATTTTTGCAAAGTTTTTAATAAAATATATACCCAATATGAAATCTGTATAGTTTTGACATATTTTTTTAAAGAAAACAGTACAAAAAAAAAGAACAATAGCAAAATACAAGCAACACAAAGATATTAAAAATGATACAAGGTTTCAAGCAAATGATAGAGTTTACATACTTAGTTTAAAACACTTTCTGTGGCCCTTATTACAGTTAAAATGTAGCTTTTAAAAATTGGTACTTACGTTTTCTGTTGGAGGTTGTTATGCTGGCTGTAGAAATTTCAGCTGCCTGTGAATCATCCGGGCCTTTCTATTTTAAATTTAAAAATAACTGATCAAAGGTAAATAACACTCACTTTGGATTGAAACATGAAATGTCTTAAGAACTATGTTAATTTTTTAAAACAAAACCTTTTAATATAGTAGCTATATATTACGTAAGTTTTCAAGACAAAATACATGTCAAACTGAAAGTATGTGAGCAGAGCATACATTTTACACTACTAAATTTAGCTGAATATAACACACTTGTGTAGATCAATATCTTCCACACAGAGCTGAAGGCTAGTGAGGCAGTCTGCAGTTCATAGCTAAATTATGTAAGCGTTTATGAAACCCAAAAGTTGTAGAAAAAAATCAATCTTTTCCCTAATTCAGTCCATTTCCTGTACGCTGGGCTGTAGATCTAAGATTCATTTTTCAATTTGTAAATGAGTAGGGTATTCTGGATGGATAAGAAACCCATGCAAACTTAATATTGTATTTCATTCACTGTAGCATAATATTCTGTTTTCATTGCTTTTTTTATGTTAAAGAGAATAAAAAAAATAACAAAATCACAACAGCATAGACAAAAACAAAACACAAAAACAATGAAAATGATACAGGGTTTCGTAAACAAAATGATAGGAAATAACAGCGGTGGTTATATTACATATTGTTATCTTCAACAAAGTTACTCAGATTACCAGATGTAAGAATGCAAGATTGATCAAACCATTAAAGGGAATAAAAAATAGTTTAAAAAAATTAGAAATGATACAGAGCTTCACTAAACATTTCTACTCTATCCATACCACTGGTTTCCACCTATTTGTAGAGGGAAAAAGGAAAGAAGGCAATCATATCAACAGAATACCTCAGCGCAGTCACTTACCAACTGGATAGTGGAAGCCGACTTGCCTCTGTCTGATTGGTCACCTAACTCAGAGTGGAGGGTGAGAGGGTGGGAATGCCCCACGTGCCCATTAACCAGTGACAGGCCCTGCTGAATAAGGATGGATTAAAATTAGTGGAGGCCAGAAGAACACAGGGGCAGAGTTGATCAACTGCATGGTTGCATTGAACATTCTGTGCATGGGCCAAAGCGCTGGGTGGCACAAAATGGAGACCTGTACTGGGAAGATTTCATTGAGATGAGCATTTGCTAAGATGTCTAACCTTAGAGAAGCACAATCCTACCCTAAAATAGGCATGCTCTGAACACTTTAAGAACATACCTTCAAAAACCTCTAGTTATGATTAAAAGAGCCTTAAATAGCAGAGTAGTAGTTTCCATATGGTCTTTTTCATACATTTAAATTTTATATTTATACAAAATTTAATTTTGAATACTGGCTGAGTTATCACAATGCTGATGATTAAAACTGTACTGCAGTTTTAGTAGCATAAGTGCTAAAATAATATTTCCAAAAATGTACTCACCAATTAAAGTACTGTACTTATAAATATTTGTATTACCTTTATTCTATGCAATAATGTTAATCTTGAAATTGTGTTCTTAAACTCATTTTAAATTCCCAGAAAAGCTCAAGGGTCAGTGGAATAAACTGCATTTTCAGATAGTCAGAATTTCTTTCATACATTTCCATCTTGGTAAAATTTCTAACTATTAGGTATAGACTGGTATGTTAGCATTATAATTTAGTTTTCCTGGCTCCAAAATGCTAATCTATAGGATGTAAATGGGGATCTATTTATTTATGCTTCTTGAGATTAGAACTCCTTTTGAAGAAGTTAATTTCCTAAACAGTTAGGTTAAATGCTCTGATCGAAGCTTGTATTTCCAATTTCCAAATTACTATACCATTCTCACTTGAACCCTAGGCCAAAGAAAAACTGTACTGTGTTAAGATAGAGCATTTTTATGAGATTTGATTTAAAATCTATTTGAAACCTTGATATTTACTTGTTTTTGAAAAGTTTCAAACTTACAGAAAAGCTGTAGAATTGTAATGTGATACTCAGCAACTTTCTGGATTCTATAATAACAAGTCACTGAATTTGGATGGATATCTGTCATCCCTTATGCAACATTAAAAGCTTTTTATTTTTTGATTCATAAAATAGAATTTTAAACAAATTAAGAAATGATATTTTAAAGGCATTAATATTTGACCTCGGCACAGCATTAGCTCTACTTTAATTGTTACTTTAGTGAACAGATAAAAAGCCAGACACTCTGTGTTGTCTGTACTGTTCTTTTGCTATTTTGTAAAAGGTTGTCTGTCTGTCAAAAAAAATAAAATAAAATAAAATAAAAAATAAAAGGCCAGACAGTGGGAGAAAAACATACAGGACAACAGGGTCCCTGCTGTAAGGAATGTTATTTAACTTTTTTCTTAGAGTCTCTCATAGGCATTTATCTTTTTAACCATCCCACCAAACAAGTAATCTCTTTCTCTTATAATGGATATATGCAGAAGAAATATAAGTCCTGAATAAAACACACTGTTTTATACATTTCATTTTACACAGAGAAGTTGATCAAATACAAGCACGATAAAAGAAATTGTTCAAGCTAGGAAGAGATTTGCTATGAATCACATTTCTGAGCTTCTTGTGTCTGGAATTTTAAATGCCTTTAAGATAGGTTATAACAGCGGATTTTATGAATTTTTAAAGTTATCGCTTTCTGACTTTTTTGTTTTTGTTTAGAAAAGACATCCAAAATTCAGATTAGTCCTTTAAGACTTCGAGCCTCTTCTTTGCCCAGACATGAAATGACATCCTGTTTTGAACCAACCATAAAAAGTAAACAGGAGATTGTAACAAATACATTAACTGGCCAGCAACAGATGATTAAAAAAATAATAACCATAATTAGGAGTAATTTGCACTCAGGGAGATTTATATATTTTTAAAATTAGAGCACTATCCCTTACATAGACAATTTCATGAAGATGTCATTACTTCCAAACAAGCATCCTTGAAATAAAAAAGAATACTATAAAACCTTGAAGCAAATGATAAATAAAACTTAAAATATACCTTGGCATTTGGTGACACAAGAAGAATAAAACATTTTTCTATCAAAAAAAACCCATGAATGCCTCCAATTAATCCCAACAGTTTCCAAATATGACCTTTACTTTCATGGAAATGTCCAAACTCCGGTGCTTCCTGCCTATGTAAACCAAGAACCTTAAAAAGAGAAGAAAGAAAGCAAAAGGAAATACAATTTTTGATGGCTTAAATATCAAACAAAGTAGGCATAATAGTTTAATATATTTTAAGTAGAGGGAAGCTCATGACAATTGAGATCATAAAGAGCCCAGTTTGCTTTTGAATATGTGAATCCTTCCACCACACCATTTAATCAACCTCAAATAAAATGTATGGAAAATACATTGGAAATGTATGGAAAATAAAGGAAAGGTTTGAAGGAGAATTTGTGCTAGTGAACGGGAGCACATAAGCTTTATTTCAGCTAGTAGCCTCGATTTTCACTCACTCTCAGTCATTTAGCTGAATTTGTTTCTTCAGATGTTCTAGCTGCATCTGTTTATAGAGCAATGCTTTATAATGCTCTATATGTCATACCTAAGGCATATAAATATATAGTTTACCTGAGGTTTCATGTAAGCTTTATTCTCCCCATTCTCTATTTTAATTAAAGTAAACTTTTAATAAATATTCAAATAAGAAATACAACTAGAAGGCACTCTAGTGAATGCAACTTGTGAATGATTGACAGAACTTTGACTTTATGATTTTCTTTTGGTAGTGCTTAAGATTGAGCCTTTGAGCCTAGTGAATGCTGAGTTACTTCTCTGTTCCCAACTTTTTAAAATTTTTATTTTGAGGTAAGATTTCACCAAGTCCAGACTGGCCTCAATCTTCAATCATGCCGCCTCAGACTCCTGAAGAGTTGGAATTACAGGCATGTGTCAATGCTCCCAACTTCATGAGTTCTCATTAATGAATCACTTTGTATCATCCCTTCTCCAAGAGAAGGAAATTTGCAAAATAGGTCAGTGGTTTCCAGATTTAGGATGTTCCTGATGGCTAAATTCAAAAAAGGAAAAAAGTTATATATGTATAGATTTATGTATATATATTTGTAGGTGTTCGTGTGTGTACAAAAACACAGCCAGCTTTGCATATCTATGGATTCTGCGTCTACAGATTCCATGAACTGTAGATTGAAACTACTCAGGGGGAAAAAACGTATCTCTACTGAACAAGTACAGATCCTTTTCTTGTCACTATTTCCTAAATAACGCAGTACAACATCTATTTATGTAGCATTTATATCATAATATGGTATTATAAGTAATCCAGAAATGATTTAAATATGGGAGAATAGGAATAGGTTACATGCAAATAAAACAACATTGTAGATAAGTTACTTGAGCATTCTGGGTTTTGGTATCCTCAGGAGTCCTAGAACCAGTCCCGTGTAGAGAGAGAGAGGTTTTAACTTACACAAATGTGTGTAAGTGTGTGTATGTATGTGCAGCTATACATAAACTTTGAGTACTTATGTAAGCATAACTAAAATCAAATATGCATTGGCCAATTTTTTCTTTTCACATGAACATTCACCTATACCCATAGAATTGCCATTTTTTTCACAAAATAAAACAGAAAAAAAACACACAATCTCATGATAAAATGTAGATCTTTAAAATGAATGAATCTAGCAAAAAAAAGAAATGAGGAAATCACAAGAGTAGTATTTTTCTCATTTCTGCATAAATTTTGAAAATTTAGATCATAATCAAGAACCACTGATTTTTCTAGCTTTCCACCACCTTTGTACCACATCTTTGCTCCTCTTCCCAAAAACCCTTGTCCTCATCTTTCTTCTCAAGCCAAAAACCCACCTTCTAAATTGTATGAAATCAAGCTAATCTTTTAGGTTCACCCCTGTACCGTTTCCTACCTACTCCCCAGTCCTCCCTGGCTGCCCCCAACTGTGTGCTCCCCTTGGAGGGAGACCAGGCAGCTTTCAGATCCTTTAGCGGTTTCCCAGGATCCCTGGCAATGAACAACACTGCAAGGACTGTGGTGACCTAGAAAAAGGCCTCCGCCACTGCCTCAAGCCAATAATAAGCCCTGAAATATTTCCAGAAAATTAGATTACAAGGGAAATTAAAACTAATAATGGTTTGTTTTATTTCTTCAATGCTCACTCTGCGATTTTGCAAACATCAAATAATCATGGAGCCTCTCAGCAACAAGAGTGACCCTGTAGAAAACTGCCAGAGGGCTGTGGAAAATTTTAACATGTCTGGCATTGCAAGGGGCGGGATCCCCGGTCCACTGTCATCATCTATATTAAGAGATTTTAGACAGAAGAGAAAACTTCCTCTGTCAAGCCTTCCACCGGGACCCTTAGCATCTCAGGTTTTTTTGCTTTCACTTCTGGCAAATAAAATCTCAGAAGACTGCACCATAGGGCCAGCTCCCTGGTGCTTACATTTTCTTCATGGGAAATTCAGACACTATTAGGCAAGAAAGAGAAATCCTCTGTGATGGTTCAAATGTAGAGATATTAATGATGGGTCCATGGCAGAGGTGTGGACAGGGTCACAGTATGAAGAGGGGATAATGAAGCACCCACGGACCAGCAACCTCAGGAAACATCACCAGCTTTAGGGCTGAAAGGGCAATGGGAAGAAATAATGTAAAAGCTCAGTGAGAGATGGGTCCACCCAGGGGATATCTAGATTCAGTGTGACACCTGCTTAGCTGACTGATTCTGGAGCAGATGCCCTGGGGGGAGAGAACTAAGAAGGAGCACCCCTTCCTCTTTCTCTCTCTGCTCCTAACCTGGATTCTCCTTTTTTGCTTCCCATCAGCTGATCCCAAATAAAAATCCAGACTGTGAAGAGCTGGAGAGACACCACCTTCTGAGGCAGAAAAGAGCAAAGAAAAACAGAAAGAGGGTCTGAGTTTGGGAGTGAGTGGAGGCCGCTGGAACAAACTAGCATAGTGTCTGATGTTTGCTTCTGAGCCCTTCTTAATAGGAATCCAGATCTGATCATCTTTTTAATATAAATTTCAACATAAGAATTGCAGGTGGTGAATTTAAGGTCTTGTCACTTTTCTCTTCTACAAGTATAGGGAAGCTTAGGGCAAATAATATTTCTTTCCAAGCAAAATATTGGCCACTGTATTTATTATTGAAGTCCCCATAAAAGTTCACATAAATATCTCTGGTAGTTAAATGTAAAGAGAAATTAGACATACTGTGATTCTTTTCATGTAAGAGAAATCATGTAATAACTAAGTTTGTGTGTGTGGCTTATTGCACTTAACATTATGTTCTCAAGTTGCATCCATTTGCCTACAAATGCTTCAAGTTTATCTTTCTCCATGACAGAGTAGTACTCTATTGTACATAAGTACATTTCCCTCATCCATTCATCTGTTGATGGACATGTATTGATCTTGGATGTTTTCAATTTCTAACCATTACAAACTGTTCTAAACACAGTATGCATGGATCACTGTACTCTGATGACTTTCACTCTCTGAGGAAGAGGCCTAGAAGGGAGCTAGTTGGGTCAAATGAAACTTCTACTTTTAGTTAAGAAATCTCTACAGTGATTTGCATAGTAGTTGTATTCTGGTAGCATTCTGGCTACTCCCTTAAGATTACCGTGCACAGTTTATCAGCTATTGTCTTTCTTTAATTTCTTTGTTATAAAATTTTGGTTTTTTCATCAAAGTAAGAAGAGTGCTTTCTAACATTTTCTTAGTTAACATCTGCATATATTACCTTAAAATTTAAATAATTAAGTAAGTAAGTAAATAAATAAATAAATAGAAGAGGAATTAGGCACACTGCATCTGAACTGGAAAGAAACAGATTACCTGAGGGATAAGGTGGAGCAGTGCATCTCCTGAGAGCGTCCCGACAGCCAAACCCACAAAGAGCTGCAGAATGAGACTGTAGTTCTCCTCACAGCCGTGGAAAAGGACCAGTGCAGTCCCGAGCATAGAGCCCAGTGTGAGAAGCATCACAGCTCCTGTGCTGTAGCCATATTCTAAGACAAAGCAGATCGTGAAATATTCAGAGCTTGTGGCCTCCTGTTCATGGGTCAGCAAGTGGACGTGCCACAGCCAGGTGCATGACAATAACAGAGGACAAGGATATGGAATGGTTCATTCCCCAGCATTACCCCACCCCCTGCAGAAAGTTAAGATAGTGAATTTTATGCTGCAGTTAACACAGTTTAAGTGAATTGTTGGAATGGTCATACAGCAACATAGGTTTTATTTCATTCCAATTTAGTAAAAATAATCCCCATGATATAAAATGATCTCTAAAGATTCTCAACCGAGTTTCATATCCCATTCCTCCCTCCCTGGGGCCACTGTATGAGGGGATGTCGTTCTTCTTATCTAGCGCATGAAGATATTTGAATTTTAGCATGGGTACCTGGATGCTTAATAAAATGCAAAACTGTTGTATCTTGTGGTTGCTATAAAAGATTACAAAATGTCAAGAACTCACAAGGACAAATTGGGGTATGGTATTTCCCAGTCAAAAGGAAAAGGTTCAAGTTCTATTTTTCTACGTCTCTCCCTTTGGTCCTGTGGGGAGGCACAATGTAATACTGAAGAACGAACGCTTCATTATTTTAGAGCTTATAAAATCTTTTGAAGTCCTCTGTGAGTCAGGTTTTGTCTGCTCCTGGGTGGGAAGGACAGCCTAGAAAAACATCTGTTCCTGACATTTGCAGTCAGAGGACTCTGCTAATTTACGCCAGCCCTGAAAAGGTGCCATGGTGTCTTGATTGGAGCTAGATGATTTGCAAAAAGGTTCTGTCTAAGCATTTCCCATCACTGCAATCAAAGTTGACCTCCTATTAAACTCTCAGCTGTTCCTGAGCAACTGCTTTAAGGAAGGATAAAATGTGATTTACGCATGGCCGTAATCGTCTTTCCTGGAAACTCTGTTGAAGGTGGCACTTTGGGGTTAGATTACAGCATACCGAACAATATTCCCTTAATAATGTTTCCTGCCCTGGCCTCTCTTAAATGCAACCTCTTCCCTTTCTGTAATGCTGAAAGCCAATACAAGCCTTTCTCTTCCATTATATAATGCAAAATTTTAAATTTGAGCACAGCAATATTTTTCTAGATTCTTCAGTGTGCACTACTTGTAATTTTTTTCAGGAAAACTATTCCCTAGAAAGCTCTCAGAGCTTCATTAGAAAATGAATAAAACTTTCTTCATAGATCTTCAAAAATCCCTTCCCAAGTGGCCTATAGGTCCCAGGCACCAGGACAGGGAGTATAAACATGCCCATGGATGCTCAGAGAGCCACAGATCTGTCCTCATCCATTGGGGGGCATTACTGATCATCAGCTGCTGAATTCTTTAGCTGGCCATTTTTAAAGAAAGTTTCTCTCCTCTCCCAGTGAATGTGGAGTCTTAGGTATTTAGTTCAGGCACGTTTTGTTCATATAAAATCTTCCCATGAGCCACTTGCTGGTAGGAAATCCATTGTAGTTAAACAATTCATTGAAGATAGCATTGCAGGCTAGCTCAAAGGGAAATAAAGCAGCTCTGAAAATATTAGGAGCTCTTCAGATTAACGGTAATACTTTGGGGTTATGTGGGTTAATTGTCACACTTTTACCCTATGTACGCCAGCAATATTCTTTTTGGACGAAGCTTAAATATATAATGTTTTAAATGAACTGAACAACATTTGTGGTCATCTTATCATCTGAATCTCACAGGGGCCCTGCTAAGTCTATGAGAGCTCATCTACAGTGACTCACTGGGACACAGGCAAGTGTCATATTGGCCCCTTCACCTCCTGGAGCTGCCAGCCATGCCTAGGGGGCCGATGCCCTCATCCCAGAGCAGCCCAATGGGCCTTCATTTTTTAATAAGTAAAAGGTTGGGAAGCATCATAGGATAGCACTGTTTTCCCAGCATGCATAGAAACAAGGCTTGGGAGGTAGAAATTGCTTGAGATCACAGGTTAACTCCACATGAGACAAGACCCAGCTCCGCATCCCAGATTCCAATACAAACTCTTTTCTTTTATGCCATGTCCCCTCTCAGGACGGGCTTAGTAATTGGTCCATGACTGAGTCAGCTCTAGGGAACAAAATCAATTTTTACAACTTACGTACAAAATCTAATGTACCCATTGAAGAGTAGAATAGTATCACAGCTAGAAATAACGACTCTGGGACCAGCTTGCTTGAGTGTGAATTCCAGCTTTATAGCTTACAGTTGTGCATCGTTTGGCAATGTACGTAACGTTTCCATGCCTTGGTTCCCTAATTTGTACAATGAGAATAATAGAAATAATACCTGTTCCTCCCTGCATCACTGGGGGGATGGTACATGTTGGTAAATAAACAGTGCCTCGAACAGCACCAGGTACATACTAAGCATCCTGCTCTCAGTACTCTCATCACCTGGATGGTGCAGCAGCTTTCCAGGGAAGAAGCAGAACTTACTTTCTAGTGTGGTAGGTAGAAGCATTGCTTGTTGGTCCCTGGGCAGCTGGCAAGAGCAGCTGAGAAGCTGTTGGATGATCCCTGGACTCATGCGCCTGAAGTCCTCCTTAGAAATGGGCGAAAGGCTGTTCTGTAAAAATATCTCCCCCAATTGCCTAGCGGAGAAGCAGGTCTGTATGGAGAAAACACATGTTGTTACTAAGCCCAGACTAAACCCACTGCCAATCTTGAGGACCCAGAATTGGGCAGAAGGACTACCACCGGCATACAAAGCCACTGCTACAACGCACTTCTCAGCTACCTTTTGTTAATTAACCTCTTGGTAACTTCCAAAGGTGATTTTAAATCTCAGATCAAAGTCTGCAGTACTTTACCTTTATTCTAAGCATTGCATAATATTTCTTGCACCCTTTTTTCTCTCCTGAAGAGACGCACTGCATTTCACAATGGGTTGGTTGCCTGGTGTTCTCTCAGCCTAAGCACGTCTTGATGTGTCTGTGGTTGTTTGTTTTTCAACAAAGCTAGGACTTCATATGATAAGCGGGAACTCAGTGGTGATGAGGTCACTGTGTTTAATACCCTCTGATGTAAGAAGTCATCAGATTTAATGATTTAATTTAATAAGGCAACACATTTTCAAAGGTAACAGCAGTTTAAATGTATCAAAAGTGAATGCTAAGTTAACCGGCTGGTGTGCAAACGCTGGATGGTATGGCTACCTCCGGGAATTGACATCCCCCCCATGGACACAGGGGAAATCATTGTTATTTTCTATTGACTTTACCTATTTTTATCTATGTTTTCATGTTTTTCCACATTACATAGGGAATACGTACAAGACATAAGACTTGTAAGTAAATAACAGAGTCAATAAATCTCTGAAAACTGCTATAAAGTATTTGTCCATCACAGAAGTAAAAGCTGACATCTTATGCATCAAAGAGTACGATGATAAGAATGCCAGACAGTTTCTCTAGCACCCATGGATGACTTCCATGAAGTCATGCAATAAAAGCCCCCCTTTAATGTCCTTATAATCTTTAGTTGCAATCAATAAATTATTTTGAGGAAAAAAATCTTATTTCTTCTTTGAGGAAAAAAAAATCTGATGTAAGGCTGGCTTGATGTTCTATGCTGTAGAATATAAGGGTTTCTAACCAAAGTACATTGGTAATCAGAAAACAGCTACATATGTGCTGGTTTCTGTACCCCACCTGAAAACCTTTCGTGACGATTTCACAGGTGAGAAAGTTCTATTTTGATCAGGAAATGTTTGGTGATGGCACAGAAACCACTTAAAAGAGAAGGGCAAGAGGAGCCTGCAATGGGCGAGGTCAGGGGGATCACAGAATAGAATCGAGGGACTAAAAGGAACGCTGCATCTCAGAAGGAACTGCGAGCTGAAACTGGAGAATCAGGTGAAATGTGCGTGCACGTGCATGCTTGCACTCCAAGTCTTTTCTCTCTCCTGCTTCTTTCTGTATATAACAATTTCCTTTTGCAGCTTAGCCTTCTCATTTGGGACACACATGGCCACAGATATCCCAACTCGCAAGTGACCTTTCACTCAAGGCCCCAAGATTGGTTGAATCTGCAAATCCTGGGACAGATCTGATTGGTTCTGCAAAGTCTTGGATAGGTTCTGTTGAGTCAGGCATCTGCCTGGTGGTATCCGTTCTGCCCATATTGAAGGAGTGAGAAAGACATTTCTCAGAAAGGGAACGGGCAAGAACTCCCAAAGCTTCCTACTCTGAAAAGCATCAACAGAAAGTGAAATTGTGGTAATTTTCCCTTTATTAAAATGATGTATGCCAAAGACAACATTCTCTTTTGCTCATTTGTTACTGAAGGAATCCAATTATATCATTGTTAAACACATTAATAAGAAGAAAGGAAAACTAATAACAAACTTTTGGTAATGAAGCATTCATAATAAATACTCCTATTAGAAAATGTGTGATTAGCAAATAAAAGGCTGGAGAGATAAACATAGAATGCCATGTATCTTCCTCCAGTTCACTGTCAAGAAACTGAACAGTATCCAGTTTTAGAAAATCATCTCCCAGAGGAAGGTTATTCTATTATAAGCTTTTGTGTCCTTGATCTTTGCCTGCTGTGTTGGTTGTCTTCTAAATTTCTTCTGAAATCACTAATGCAAATGTCTTAATGGTGATTCATTATGTTCTATGAATTTTAACACAAAACATGTTTAACAAAGAAGAGAAAAGACTGAACATTTAGATGATCTGGTCCATAACTTTAAATCTTTATCCTTCCACAGCAAATTTCAATATATGTTTACACTTGAGTTGATGTCATCAGACTACTATGGATATTTTCAGACGTATTCTACATTTCTGTTATTCTTTAGTTTGAATACACTTGGATGGCTTATTAAAGAAGAGTGTAGAGCTTGGGATGTGGATCAGTGGTAAAGCACTTGCTTACCACGCATGAGGCCCTTGATTTATCCCCTAGGACCACAAAATAATACTAATTAATACTAATAACAATATTACTAATAATAAGTAAAATAAAAGAGACCTGGGCTCCATTCCCAGGGTTCCTGACTCAGTAGATTCTCGGGTAGGGTGTGGCAATTTGCATTTCTAGCAAGTTCTTAGCTGATGCTGATGATGCTTCAGTCCAGGGACAAGATGTGGAGAAGCATTGATTTAAATAATACAAGCAGAACCCTGATCTGATGTCCCATATTAGGTTCCCAACAGAGTCACAAAGAAAATCACATGAAGAAAGAGAGGAGAATAATTAGAGAAGAGGATTTTTTGTTTATTTTCCACAGTTAGCACAGAGCATGATTATGAATGTCTTTAGGAGATGCACTCTTTTGCCAGATATAGTGGTGCGTATTTGTAATCCTAGTGCTCTGAGAGGCTAAGGCGGGAGGACTGAAAGTTTCAGCACAGCCTGAACAACTTACTGACTTAGTGAGACCGTCTCAAATGAAGAAGTCAAAAGGGCTGGGGATGGCCCTGGGTTCAATTCCCACGAACACTAATGCTAACACACACACACACACACACACACACACACACACCACACTCACCACACATACACAGCATGCCATATGTAAATAATGCCTGAAAATATTTTTAAACCCTTTATCCTTTTTGCAAACACTGTTTCCATAAGGCGAATTTAATCCCTTTCTGAGATTTGACCCTGAAGAAACATTTAAGAAGGTTTCACAGAGCTTAATTTGGAAGTCAACTAGTGACCTAAAGCTATATGCAATAAGCATCCATTTGCAAGAGTCTACTGAGATACATTTTACATATGGCAAAGGCAAGAGAATTTGACTTTTAAAATTATATATTAGTAACTGTAAGTGATATTGTCTAATCATACATTCATAAATCGTATGCATAGCATTCAGTATTAGGAATATGTAAAGACTTTCTCTGTTTTAAAGTACAGATTGTGTTCTGTAGGAGTACTGCTTATTGAAGATATAAATAACAAAAAATGTAATTTATCTTAATCAACAATTCACAAAATTAACATACTCATCAAGAATACAAAATGCACTATCAGACAACATATGTGTGTATATATCCTCAGTTTCTGTGAATTTAAGGATTTATTACCTCTACACCAATAATACAAACTAACAATATAATTGTTTTAATAAGTAATAAGACAAAGTGTAGGTTAAATAATCCAATGCTTACCATGTAGTAAGTATTTGATAAATGTAAGCCAGTAGCATAGAACATTAATTTATGAAGATCTTAAATAAATAGGGGAGAGAAGGATTCTATGATCAAAGTTTGAGAAATACTGGGCTCAGTAAGACTTTAAAAGTTTACTTACTAGTATGACCTTTCCTCCAGACTTCTCAGTATGCTACAGGGAAGAATCCATCTCCAGTTTTTATCTAAGTGATCTGACCATAGCATTTTTTTCAAAAAGCAAAGAGGTAGACCAGGGAATGCACTTTGGGGACATAATTTCAAGAAATACAAATCTGGTTGTGTTTATATGCTTACAGATTACTTTTCCTCAAAAATTTGATCAGTACCATCTACTATGCAAATATTTTTCTATTGCTCAGGGGCTGGGGATTTAGCTCAGCAGTACAGTGCCTGCCTGGCAAGCACAAAGTTGTGAGTTCAATTCCCGATACTAGAAAAAAACCAAAAATAAACAAATAAATAAATATTTGTCTGTTGCTCACAGGCCAAAGTAATCACTTCCTCACCTAACCTAAATGTATGCAATCATCATTCTGATTATTCATGTAATATCTGTATCTTTCACTGCCTTGTAAGCTCCCTGAGTGCTGGATCTATTTTCACTCAGCACTATATTCCTCATGCTCAGGTTGGGAACTGATACATACTAAATGCTCATAATGTTTTCTAAATTTATTTGTGCATTTAATATGGACCCAAGGGAGGGCAGAGTAATATATCATTCTTCTAAATACCTTGGCCTTCTTTCTATATATATGGAAATTCACTTATAGAAGAAGAAAGTCACAACAATCATAGAAATAGAATATTTTCTTATGTTTTCTACAACTCTGGTAGAACTTGAATAACTGGTCTTCCTTCAACAATAACAAATGATGCTGTAAGATGAATAATGGAAATACCTGATCCCAGGACACTGGACTATCATCTGACTCTTTGTCCATAGACACAGAAAGGTTATGGTAATCCCAATCATGGACCCTTATGTTGCCTTGTTTCCTCTGAGGTTGATGGTTTTCAGCTTTTTTCTTACAGGTGCTTTTGGTCCAAAGAATATTGAGGAGTTGGTCCAGTTCTAGAAATTTCATATAAAATCTGGTGTCACATAGAATAGACAGGTTCAGAATAATCATAATTTTTCATGCCCACAACATAGATATTTTACAAGATAATGAAAAGCCAAAGTTTCATCCTGAACAAAGCTAAAGATCATTTATATTTCATAGATATATTGATTCCTTCACAAGTTCTGGTTAAATTTTGAGGCTGACCTAGTTTTTACCATTGTCCAGGTTTTAAAAACGGGCAATCCACCAATGGGAATACTTTCCATTTTTTTCCTGTTCTATAAAAATATAAATTAAAGAAGAAACTGTCCAAACTTTAAGAAATTAATTCCCTTGAAGCACTGAACATCTTTAGTAAGTTGACTATTATCTTAATATAAGTAAATCAATCAAATTGTTTTCCTGTTAAGTATATATGAATAAAAGGGAAAATAAATGAAAGTGAACTAAGATTGTAGAGACAAACTAGATCTTATTTTCTAATGCTACCTTTATCACTTCTTGGCCTTTTCACTCGGATCAAGTGTAGTCTAATGCTACACTGATGCTGCAATAGCTGTAAATTTATAGATTGAAATGTAACTCTAGACTTTTGAAAACTGATTAACATAGAGAAAGATCGAATATTATAGTGAATTTCTATGTGTTTATCCATTTTACTACCTGTGAATAAAATTTCTTTGAAATTTTTCTAGACAGTATAATTATTGATAGGAAATATTACAGAATATTCAGTTTTGTTTTAAATGATCAGTGTTCAACAAAAAATTGTATGATTCACAGAAAACTGGGAAAATGTGACCCATATTCAAAGAAAAGAAATGCCAAAAAAATACATCTCTGAATAGTCCCAGATGTTGGATTTAATAGACAGTCTTCGAAGCAGCTATATAAGCATGTGTAAGGGATTAAAAGAAATAATATTTAAAGAATTAAAGGAAGCATGACAATAATAATTCAATAGCAAGTTTAAATAAAAAGATAGAAATTACATAAAATTCCCCAAAGATATTCTGGACTTGGAGAATATACTGAGATAAAAAAAAATCACTAGAGGCATTCAACAATATGTTTGATTAAGCAAAATAAAATCACTGAACAAAAGACAGATTAACAGAAATAATCCATCCTGAAGAAAAAAGAAAAGAACCAGGACCAGAGGAAGATGGTGATGACAATATCATCTCAGAGACCTGTGAAACAATAATAAGCATATTGATATATATAGATTGACAGAGCCAGGAAGCAAAAGAAAATCAGAAAAAAATTGGATATTATAATGGCTAAAAATTATCCAAGTCCAATATAAAATCTTTATCATCACATTTAAGAAGCTCATCACACTAGTATGATAAAATCAAAAGAAGATTCATATACAGAAGATACATCATTGTGAAACTATTGAAAGTCAAAGATGAAGAAATCTTGAAATCAGCAGAAGGAAATGACTCATCACATACAGGGGACCATGACTAAAGTTAATGGCTCACTTCCTATCTGAACACCACAAACCAGGAGGTAGTGAATAGGATATTCAAAGAGCTATAAAAATGAAAAAAAGAAAAAATTGTCAATCAGGAATTTTACACTCAGGAAAAACAATCCTTTTCCACAAAAGTGGAAAAAACATTAAAGGAGAGAATTCATTGCTAGCAGACCTGCTTTACAAAAAGTACAACATGAAGATCTTTAGGCTGAAAGAATCACCCAAATTGGGGAAATTTTTGCATTTTGGCTAAGTCTGTTGGAAGAAAAGAAGAACACTGGAAATATAAGAATGTGGGTTAATGCAAAAGATTACAAATATATTTTGCTTGTTTGTTCTCTAAACTTAATGGAAAAAATACTAGAGGCTTTTCTTGCTAAGTCAGAAACATATCAAGAAAGCTTAGCATACCTATCACTATTTGACATTATATTGGGATTATTAACCAATGCAAGTAGGTGAGAAAACAAATACTAATACAAATATTGGAAAGAAAAATGCAAAAGTATATTGATCTAGAGATATGTATCTGAAACTTCTAAGAAAATCAATATTAAAAATCAAATAATGTAATCATGGAGCACAGTATAAAATGAATTTACAAAAATCAGTAGCTTTCCTATTTATAATGGCCAATTAGACTAGGGAATGAAATAGGACCTCATTTGAGACAAGCAAAAAGAAAGGTAGATGCTTATATCTAAACATAGTTTTACTGTGTATGGAAAATAATAAAACACTACACAAAAACATGTATATAAATGGGTATTATAGTGCAGGCCTGAAATCCCAGTTACTCAGAAGCCTGAGGAAGAAGAATCTCAAATTCAAGACTAGGTTGAGAACTTAGCAAGACTCTGTCTCAAAATTTAAAAAAAAAAAATCTAAAGGATTGGGGATGCATCTCAGTGTTAGCATGCTTGTCTAATATACACAAGGCCTGGGTTCAGCTCCATACCATGAAACAAATGTAAACATATGCAGACATGATCAAATGGATGGACATTATGTTCTTGAACATAAAGTTACAACACGTAACATGTACTGTTTCTAAGTAATTTTACAATTTCTTTTCATTTTTATTTTTGGTAATTATAATAAAATTATCACAATTTTTTCATGGAGCTTCACAGTTTGATGATGGTCACCTAAGACAAACAAAGTCAAGAAAATCTTGAAAAGTAGACACATGTGGAAGCTTAGCTCAAGTAGACATTTCAATGTTGCAAAGCTATTGTAAGTAAAACAGTATGGCACTGGCACATGAATAGACAAGCTGCCAAATAGAACAGAATAGAAAACCCACAAAGAATCTCAACATTTAGAAATATATTGTAATACATGAAAATAGTATCTCAAACCAGGAGTAAATAATGCATTTTAAATAAGGATATAAATAAAATTGGATAGTAAAAAGGAAAAATAAACTGGATTTATTCCTCCCAACACATACCACAAATAATTCTTTTTTTTTTTTTTTTTTTTACCACAAATAATTCTAAGTAGATCAAAAATGTAAAGATACAAGTATCGAAAGAAGATATGGCTGGCTTCTTCCATTACCTGAGAATATGTGAAGTTTTCTTAACTGAAACTCAGAATTTAAAAGCAACAAATTTGATTAATTTAATTGTATATAAATAAAATATATTTGAATAAATGATTGATTCCAGGTCTAGGCAGAAATGTATGGGATATAAACCTGGACTATCATGTTATTTTGGAAAGTAAGAGATATACAAAATATTTTAAAGATTTTATCAGAAGGACTTAAAACCAACTTGAACAAGATCCTACTGATAAACAGGGATCAATCTAAGTATCAATTAATACAATAAGGATAATAAATTGAGAAATACATAATTATAATTTTTTTAAATACCATCATTTTCCTTTGAAAGATTCAAGGAAACTTGTTATTACCTTGAAAACTGGTAAAGTACTAAGAATTTATAGTTATTTTCTTTTAAGAACCTCAGTAAAATGAAATAGTGAGGAAAGGTCTTGCATTGTAGAATCATACATCAAAAAATAAAGCAGGAATGAGAGAAACAGATCTCCATTTATAATCCCTAAACGCTCAATCTAGGCAATGATCATCAATATCGTATAATTTCTCAAAAGGAGGGAGAAAGAGAGAGAAATAAAGACAGACAGAGATCCAAATGTTACAGTCCTTCTGGTGGAAGTTACTAATTATATATAGTACTTGCAAAAATAAGTTGAAAAATAATCAAGCCTCCACCTATGCTAATCCGTATCCATACAATGCACCACATAGAAATGCGTGTTAACTAATTATGAATGTAACAAAACAGACAACAGGAAAAAGCCTGACACCTATAAAAGAAACTTCACAAATCTATCAACAAGCTGCATTTTATCAATCTTATTTGAATTCTGATTCAATAAAGAATAAATTTTTTTTAATTAGGAAAGTGTAAACATCAGACAATTTTATAGTATTCAGAAATCATTGATTATTTTTAGATGTGATATTGGTAATGAGATGCTTTTTAAAAATCTCTGTGGGATAACTGCGCAGGGGTGAAGAGGACAGCCTTTTCCGATGACCCGGCAAGATGGCGGGAGTGGAGCAGTAGAAGAAGCGAACCTTCCGCAAGTTTACCTACCGCGGCGTGGACCTCAACCAGCTGCTGGACGTGACCTACGAACAGCTGATGCAGCTGTACAATGCACGGCAGGTGGCTGAACCAAGGCCTGCAGCGAAAGCAGCACTCGCTGCTGAAGCACCTGCACACGGCCAAAAAGGAGGCACCACCCATGGAGAAGCCCAAGGTGGTGGAGACACACCTTTGGGACATGATCATCCTGCCCGAGATGGTGGGCAACATGGTGGGCAACATGGTGGGCGTCTACAATGGCAAGACCTTCAACCAGGTGGAGATCAAGCCTGATATGATCGGCCACTAGCTGGGCGAGTTCTCCATCACCTACAAGCCTGTGAAGCACGGCCAGCCTGGCACCAGGGCCACCCCTCTTCACACTTCATCTCCCTCAAGGAGCCACCTGACCAATAAAGCCACTACTGCCCACCCCCCCCAAAAAAAAAAACCTATCTATGGCTATTTTAATGCAGATTTGAAAAAGAAGTCATGTAATCCTCAAACTGTTTGCCTTATCAAGTTCAAAGCAATGTGCAAAATACACATTCTGATTCCCTTCTTAGCATCTCATTTCATCTCAGAGCTCTAGAGACGAGGAGTCAGAAATGCAGCAATGGTAAATAATTTACATGTTACTTTTACTTTATTATGTTTTTAGTACCAGGAATTGAACTCAGGACCTTGCGCTTGCCAGGCAAGTGCTGTACCATTGTGCTATATCCCCAGCTCCATTACTTTTTTTTTTTTAATTCTAAAGAGAATAGTAAAAAAGAACAATAGCAAAATATCAGCAACATAGACAAAAATAAAATAAAGCAAAAACAATAAAAATGATACAGGGTTTCAGAACAAAATGATAGGAGTTAACAGTGGCTGTTATGTTACATACTGTTACCTTCAACGAAGTTGCTCAGATTACTGGATGTAAGAAGGCAAGATTGATCAAACCATTAAAGAGAATGAAAGAGAAAAAGAAAAAAATTAGAAATGGTACAGAGTTTCACTAGACAGGATGGTAGGAGTTCACCAATCATTGTTATACTGCATATTGTTGTCTTCAAATTAGTTGTTCAGATTACCAGATATAAGCACCCATTACTTCTATTTTAAATTAAGTGACTCACAGGCAAACTTTTACTGACCCTCTTGAACCATTCTGAACACTAATTTCTCATTCTACAGTGTGGTGTCACCTATGGCCCAGTATGATGCACTAGAAGGAAAGCGATGAGTTAGTTCTCTAGGACAAGTTCATGTTTATGCCTCATCAATACCTGGACATCATAGTATGCAATCCTTGAAAAGCCACCTGAGCTTTCTTCTGGTAAGCTGAGATAAAATAGTGTGTAAAACATACCTAAGAAAACTCAGTCATCAAAACACTTCAGCCCTTGTTTGGGGCACAGTTCATTCTGTAGATGTGATTTGGAAGTTAAATTCATAAAAAAAAATCCTTACCTGATAGGTGGAGCGTATTTGTACTATTCAAGAAGCGGAAAATATATTCAGTAAAATAGTCTGGGGAAGGCAAATTTCTTCGTCCCAAACAAACACCTTGGAGGGACAGAGCAATTATGCTCGCTGCTAGCTGAGGAAGGGTATTTTCGTCAGCACCGTCACTGCTCAGGATTCCAGATTTCTTCTGCAGCACTTTAGTCTCCATACACTGAAATCAGACACAAAGTCCAGAGAAAATGTTAACTTTCGAAGTGATTTCGCATAAGATGTATCTCTGATTTTCCCCAAAGACAAAATAGTTCATCTCAAAGAAGCTTGAATGGATTGTGGGAGGGACTGTTGTCATCTACTGTCTCAGATGCAGCTGTATTTGGAAAATACTTGTTTTATCTGCCATGACACTGTTTTCAAACTCCCCACATGGCTGTTCCTCAGTCAGCTGACCTTTTTCATTATCTTTGTCCATTTTGCCAAGAGAACCTTCTGCTCTGTTTACATCTTTCAGTTGGTGAACTCTCTCCCAGCTTCAAGGACAGCCTGCAGGCTAATGATTTTCAAATATACATTCCCTACCCTGACTTTGCTGCATCTCTGCTGCTTTGTATCATCACAGAGCACCTCCACTTCCACACCAGCCTTTAATCTCAAGTTCAATGTGCAGCTGCCATCAATGAAGGCTAGCACAGTGCCCGTGTTCTCCAGCTTCTACAGAACGTGTGTACAACACGGGGCCTTTTTCATTTGTGAATATCAGTTTCTTCCATTCAATTATGAGCATCTGAGAGACTAGAATTTTGCCTTATACCTTTCTACTATTCCCATTCACTTATTTAAACATTGATTGATTGCCTACCCATTATGCTAAGCCCACTACCTATGAAATGGAGACCAGGTTCATCAAAAGAGGAATTGGGGAAAAATTATTGTGTCAATATTCAACGCTTGAGACATAAGACAAATAAAAAAGAGTACTTCTTTGGAAGAGAATTAGGCAAGGGATAAGGAAAAGTATTGGGGTAATGTGATCGAAAATGATCAAGGTATGTTATATGCATGTATCCGTTCTCCAAAACAAACATCACTGTTAACTATTTTAAAAATACACTAATAACCTTTTTAAATAGAGGAATAAATTAGTTCTGCCATAGCATTATTTTATTCTTTTCTGTAAATGTTTGATCTCACAAACACTCAGAAGTGAATATTAGCAGTACATGTAGGAGACCAGAAAACTGACATATATACACCATCTGCTTTTACATGCTGGGTCCCCATTTCCATCCAACCTGCATTAAAGGCATAAGGAGTAAGATGACAAAAGTCTAATGGCTCATTCAAACCAGTCTTGTGTTACATGGATGCTACCATGAAGACAATAAAAAACCTAAATTCTATCAAGGCAACTTTTCCTAAAATGAAAATAGGAGGAAAGCTATGGGCAAAGTTTGATATTTGTGGGATTATAGCTACTGGAGTGATGTTCTTCGGGTGCTAGGTAAACATTTGTTCTGCCTGCAATAGAGACCAGGTTCACCAGAAGAGGAACTGGGGGAAATTATTGTGTCAACATTCAAAGCTTGAGACATAAGACAAATAATAAAGGGTACTTCTTTGGAAGGAAATTAGGTAAGGGGGAAGGAAAAGAAGAGAGATTAAACATATTTATAGTGAATTGGAGGAGGTGTTTGCTGGTCATTAAGTCAGAACAGGGCTTTAGCTCCTAGAATTTACAACTGAGATGAAGAACCAAGTTTGTCCATACATATCAATGAATAGTTGAAGAGAGCAAAAAGCCAGTTTTAATTACACTCTTCAAAAATATGGGGTAGCTTCTCAATTCTTTTTGAAAATGTGACTTAAGTAAACTTTATGTTTAGAGACGCTTATTTGCTAAAACTTTCCATTGCAATTCAGAAAGCAAAAGCATCAGCGATGCCTGTGTGTGCACAGACATGAATTAAACCCCTGACATTAAATAAATAAGTAGCATCACAAAAGGTCAGCTTTTTCTAGAATAGTAATGATGGCAGCACAAGACCAAGTGCCCATTTCCTGAGACTGGGAACTGGGAGAGATGAGAAGCATTTGAATGGGTCTTGTTCATACGCAGCTCAAATCAAAAGCCACAAAAAGGATATTTTCTTGAGCTGGCTATGATGAATAAAGCTTTTGTGCAAGCTGTTTCTTCAGTGAAATAACTAAGGATAAATTCGTCTCTCTGCAGGAAGGCAAGGCAAATAAATAGACACACGGACCTCCACACTGTAGTTCAGTCCTTGGACAATGATCAAGAAGCCTTGAATCACGCTGACTCGAGTGCTCGGAAGGACGTCAGAGAAGAGAGCTGTCCTGTCACCTGGCTGGCCTTACCTACCCGCCCACCCAACTTCTGGCTAAAACTCATCTTCCAATTAGTCATTGCGTTTCCACTTCTGGACTCAGAATTTTAAATTACGTCACTCACCATGTCATAGTTTAAAACCATAAATATTTATCTCTCTTGAAAGTTCTTAAATGTCTCAGGAATAAGTGAGTGACAAAAAATCAGCCCCTGGCACTGCAGCTTAGTAACAGAACCAGTTATCCATTGTGCCCTTCTTACCTGGCTCCTGGAAGTGTCAAAGTATTGCCTGGTGAAAGCCAAGATATCTTCTGTCTCATTCTGTGAAAGGAAGTAGGAGTCCTCATCCTGCCGGAGGCTCAAGAGGCTGTGTAGGTAAAATTTATATTCTTTATTACTCAAGTTGAGCTTTGAAGAACAGATTTCTTCCTGATGAATAATGTAGTAGAGCAGGAGAAGAGAAACTCTCTGGATGACCTCCTCTTGAAGCTGCTCTTCAAAATCTCCCCCAGCTATTAGTAACAGTGCATCTGGTTCAAAACACTATGGGGAGAAAAAGGAAAAGGAAAAGAAGTACATTTTAAGAAATAGCACCAGAACACTAACAATCACAAAACAGGGTCCCAAATGATTACTTTAGAAATAGATGAGAAAAGTAGTCAGGTCCTATAGCTAAATTTAGATAAATGAACATCATTAGACTCATGCCCTGCAGTCCCCCGCTCCACTTTCAGTACTGGGGATTGAATCCAGGGCTGTCATAGTTATATCCCCAGCTCTTCTTTATTTTTCACTTTGATATGGGGTCTCTATAAGTTGTTAAACTCCCCAGGCTGGGCTGGAACTTAGAACTTTCCTGTCTTAGTCTCCCAGCTGGCTGGGATTACAGGCAGGTGCCACCAAGCCCAGCTGGTCTTATGTAACAGTGATGCCCTTCTAGGGAGCCCTTTTTCTAAGAGTGATCCCTCTGTTCCCAACTTGGGTTGCCACAAGCTATTCACATGTCACTTTGCATAAGACCAGCCAAAGCTTTGGCTGTTAAAATGATACCCCAATATACATAGAATAAATTGAAATTCCCTCCCATTTTCTCCTTGCTGTGGCTGCTATATACCCCACCTCCCCTACCTTATCTTCACCTTTTGCTACCATTGCACTAAACTCCTGCCCCTGTGATTTTCTGTTAGCTGCACCAAGCTTTTCTCCACTTTCCCTTTCAGGTCTGCTTATTCCTCTTATTTCTCAAATCTCAGTTTAAAATCCTTCCTCCTTGGGGAAGACCTCTTATCCCTGTCCCCCAGGACAACAGTGTCCAAAAGAAACATAACACAAGCTGCATACATCATGGGAATTTTATAGAAGTCACAGTTTTAAAAGTAAAATGGAATAGGTGGAATTAATTTTAATAACATTGTATAGAAATTTATGTATCTGGGCCAGGGATACAGCTCAGTGGCACAGTGGCTGTCTGCCAAGTGTAAGGTCCTGAGTTTGATTTCTGTATATTTAAGACAGGAATAGACAGATAGGGTAGATATCTATTAGGATAGATAGGAATAGGTAGAAAGGATAGATATCTAATAGGATAGATGAATTTATATATCTAAGATATCATCTTTTTTAGTGTATAATCAAAAATTTAAGATTATTTATATATATTCTTTTTGTTGGATTGAGTCTTCAAAGGCTGATGCATGCTTTATACTTACAGTGCATCTCAACTTTGATGAACCACATATTAAGGGCCCAATGGCCACATATGGCTATAGCTACCATGTTGGACAATACAGTCTAGAACATCAAAATTTTATTCTCTTTATAGCACTAGTGTTGTATGATTACTCTGCTTGTTTATTTTCTCTATTTCTTAAGACAACAATAGTCTCCAAAGACCAGCTTTTGTCTGTTTTGCACAGCATATTCTCAGCATGTAGCAGAATACTTGGCACTAAAGAAGTATAAAAACTCAGTGAAGGAGCACTATACTTCCCTCTTTCCTCTTAGCTAAGTGAATTCTAAAGCTAATTCCACTGAAAGTAATCAGAACATATGCCCCAACTGGTATCCCCCAAATCTAGCACGTTGGCAATTGGTTATTTTGAGCTAAAGGGAATTGAGAAAGAGTAGCTGTGGAAAGTTCTCTACCCTTCCACTTTTTAACCTAAATTTCTCCTAATAAAGACATCTTCCCTGTACCAAGTAAAGGAGAACGTTCTTATCCCCGGAGACTAGGAGTCCATGTGGGTCTCAATATATACAACCAAACTACAAAAACAACCCTTAGCATCGATTAGCACCCCTCATATATTTCCCAGTCATTTTCCTTACAAGTTACCACCCCTTTACCACAACCCCTTTTTTCTCTGTTCTTTTCCCATCTCTACAATGTATTGCTCTTTGTTAAAATGGTATAGAAGTTTCTGGGTTTAATCACTTCATTGAGGCTCTCACTTCTTTCATGGGGCTTCCAATGCCACATAAAAATATTTAACCACAAATAAAACTTATATTCTTTTTTTCCCACTTATCTCTCATAAGTTAAGTTCACAATCCCCACTAACCAACCTTAACAGGGTAAAAAAGGAAAGACTTTTTTTTCCTCCTATACTATGATACTTTCTTCCACAAACCACAAGCAGAAATGGTTCCTCTAATCTCAGAAGTCCGCCTGGCATAAAGTGTTTGGGTTAACATATTGGGACACAGGAAAAAAAAATCTAGACACAAGAATTGGGGGTGGGAAGCTGTTACAGCAAGAGAAGAGCAGCTTTCTTCAAGACAATTGGGAGATCCTGAGGATTCTCCAGGATCTGAGAAGCAGCTTAATTACCCAACACCACCACGCTCAGCATTAAGCATTGAGTAATGTCTGCCCTGAGTCTGAGGGATTTGTCCCACTGTGTGGACAATCTACTACAATGTATTTTTTCATCTGTTCTCCTGTGAAGTGGAATTAGAAGAGGTTCTCATTCCATGTCTGCTGGGCAACCCACTGGGTAACATCTGATACCAACCATCTGCCTCAGGAAGGAGCAAATTTTATCTATCACTAAAGTAAAGCATGATGACATTATTCCCAAAGCCACACGAATTCTAATCCCTTCTGAATTCAATTGTAAGCGGGTCAGGAACTTGACAGAGGGGACACAGTGTTCACAACAAGACCAACTTTTAGTGTGAGTGTTAAGTTCCACTTCTGAAGCCACAGATGCCCTTTTGTGTCCCCTAAGTGGCCCTCAACAAAAAGTTCATGTATTGGTTTACAGAGCTGATGCCAAAACTCAAAGTGGTGACTCTCTTGAAACAAAAATTTAATAAAGCCAAATAACCTCTGACACCAAATCAATGGTAGTGTTAGCTACTACTTAATGGCCAGTACTATACCAAACACTATGTACTCAGGTATTCCTCAGAATACAATCTAATTGATTTTGGAAAATGTTTATGTTATGAATGTTTTGATAGTAGAAACTCTATCTCATTAGGTTAAATGGAAAGATAAAATATTTTCAGCTGATATATATATATAATAATCCACCAAATATTTCCACAGAAAATATTTAGAATACCAATTATATAGTTATATAATGTTTAATGAATGAAGGGGTACATCTGTATATAATATGCAAAGCCAATAAACAGAATAAAATAAGACTTTCCTTCTATGAAAAAAACTACAGCTGTAATATAGGTGAAAACCATCTTTAAGGGAGAGTGAGTGACTTGTCAGAGCCATATAGCTAATTGCAATTAGTTGTGTCAGGTTTAACTCCTATTATTCCAGTGACAAGCCTTACTCTCCAATTCCTTTCTTTGGTGCCATGGAGGCATAAGCAGTGGGCCCTCCATGTGTTTAAGGCATATAGCCTCTTCAACCATTCATTTTCTCTCCTTTCTTTTGGGTAGGAAGAGAAGTCAATTAGGAGGTAAAAGGATTGGCTAGTTCCTGATTATAAGAATGAGAACATAATAATAGAGATTTGGATAAGTTTGTGCTGATGTACACTCAAGCGCTACTCAGATTCTTTGTGAGGTTGGATCAGTAGGAAAAAGAGTATCTCAAGCACTAGGACAGGATGTTCATGAGGCCACCAGACCATATATATGTAGTCAGGGCTTGGCTAACAAGCATCTGTCATCCCGCCAGAGGAGTCTAAGACTCTTGTCCATTGCTGGTCCTCTTTAATGTTCTTATTGTACACTTTTTCAGGGTTAGAGTAGGGTGTATGTGCTAGGGGACAGCTGAGAAAAGGATATGCATTGTCATTGTACAGATAAGTGTCCTAGAATTGGTTTGTACCAAGCATAAAATGTAAAGGTGATACTGATTTCTGCTAAGTTTAACTCAGTCGTGGAGGCAGCTTCTTTTACCTGACTGGGGATTTCAGTCATCTTGAATGTACAGGTATCACCCAGGCTTGGTTTAATTTTTGAGGTCTGCTGAAATAAGCATGACCAGGAATCAAATGACTCTGAGCTGAAAACTTTGTTCCCTTTAGTATTTGAATCTTGAGAAGCTATTTTAGTAGGGGAGACAGTAGTGTGAGGAAAGGATGCTCTAGGAAAATCAGAAGGACTAAGTAAGGAAATACAAATTCCTTGCCTGGGTAAATCTATGACAGAAAAGAAGCACAGTGGGGGCTGTGGGTGGGGAAGGGAGATGAAGGCTGTCAACTCATCTCTGCCATGTGTAGCTTTAGCATTAAAGTATTGAGCAGTTGGCTCAGTTGGGTTTGGGGAAGAACATTTAACACAGTTTCCCAAATACCACCATCCCCTAGGCATTGAGCGCTGTCCAAGCTGCCGACTCCTGTGAAGTGATTCTTTGTTAAAGAATAATGAACTCATTGAGGGATAATCCATTGATTTTCCTTTAAGGCTTGTCAGGTGGAAGCATACGACTTAAAGGGGAAAAAAATCTAGGAATAAGTGTTAAAGAATTCACAAGGAAATAAACTTTATGAAGACATTAATTAAATTTAAAGCAGAGGGCTTCTTTACATCTAAATGGTCTCCCTAGACACTTGGTGGTAATTGTCTATTATACCCAGATGCCAAATCAGACCACCTCCCCCAGGTATGTACCTCCAGATTTACTTATTGCTTGCATAGGTAAGAGCCCCAAAGACAAAAAGTGACGTGATAGTGTTGTTTCTCTACATCCCTGCAGGGTAAACTGGAGAGGTTTTATCCCCAAAGATGTTTAACATTTGATTTTGACACATGGATAAACTTACTATCTTCTTTCAGGTTCTTAGATTTGTATAAGGTCTTTTTTAATGGGGGGGTATCCTTTTTCATGAATAACAATTGACTGTATGTAGAATAAGTAACATATTTCTGCCATTCCTTGCATGTATAGCAGCAAGGGAGCTGGCTGGTGGCAGGGACTGACTCTTACTGGGTTCATAGGAGATTTAATGAATCTTCTGACACGAAGTCTTTACAGAGTTAAAATTTTTAAAAACTTGCTAGACACAGGAGATAAAGCTTGATGCTTTCTACATTTTATCCTTGAAAATTAAGACAAATGAGTGGGGTGGGTAGGCTTATGGAGAACCTTCTGACAGTGATTCTTCTGCATGAATGTGCCTGAGAATTTGCCTGAAGAGCTTAGCTTGGGATAGCTGAGAAGAGATCTAAGGGAGAGGTGGGAGGGGGGTTCTGGAGAATGTCACTGTTCCCGGGTCCCTAGGAAAGGAAATATCAGACATCACTGTGAGGTACAGGGAATGTGAGGGAACAGAGAGAATTTCACTCTCATGTCCAAGTCCATGGCTATAGGACCACAGAGATACCTTCCCAACTATAGACTCATCACCTCACGCCTATTGAGGCAGGGCAAAGTAAATAAAGATCGGTAAAAAAGGCAACAAGGGAACTCAATTTTCATTTTCCTTATTAACTTAAAACTCTGGGTCAGATTCCTGTCAGCTTGGCACACAGGAATACTAATCACTTAAGAAAAGTTGGCAAAATAAGGTGTATTAACCCTACATCTTCCTGGCCTCACTCACTTCCTTCAAGATTCAGGAAACTAAGATAAGAATAACTGGAAGAATGCCCAGGGTTTGCAGGGACACCCAATTGCCAGTATGTATAGTGTACAGTTCAAGCTCTCCTTGGAGCAATGCCTAGAAGTCTTTCCAGGAAAGTAGTAGAGCTTTGCAGAGCCCCTAGGATGAGACCACCTTCCCAAGCAGGAGAAATTACCCAATGACAGACACAGAGGTAGCCCCTCCCAAGCAAGGACAATCACATCTTGGGAACCAAGTAGCCTCTCAAGCTGTAAGGATTCCTCCAGAGGTAGAAACTAGACTGAGATAAAGGTCAACCAAAGGCTGGCCCACTTCAGCTAATCCTTCTGAGCTTGTGCTTTTGTGAGCAGGCCATTCTGAACATATTCATCAAAGTGAGCCCCTCTAGGTGCTCAATATGGAGTCTTCTTCGAATTCTAACTCTGCCCAATAAACCTGTCTGTGCCTCACACTCATGTGTCCTGAAATTCTTTTTCTATGAAGTGTCTCAGGAAGCTACTTGGAGAACCAAGTTGAATTTTCCATCTCCTCTTTGGGGGACTTCCTTATACTCTATCCCATGACATACATACAACTGGAAACCAAGGTTCAGCATATCCTAACTTCTAGAAGGTTCCAGAACAGGGCACTTTTCCCTTCAGGAATCTATGTAGGACCATAATTCTCATCATTATGAAAGTGTTTACTCTATTAAAGTTACTGCATCCCTCATTAATTCTATTAAAACTCTTTCTTCTCAATGAAAAGAAGAGGAGAGAAGTCAGTATCATCCAGAAAATATCCATTTTCAAAGGCTGCCGCTTGAATGGAACGCCCAATATCCTCAGATATTTCAGATTGATTTTTTTTTCCAAGTCCCATTCTTTTACCTATACCTAAAATTGGGTCCATTTTTTTTTTCTTCTTCACAAATTCAAGATACTGACATTCCTGTTTTATTTTTTTAGAACTATAAAATCACTTCTTTTCCTTCTCTTTGTACCACAGAATTTCTATCATGAACCATACCTATTAGCAAGATCCCCAAAAGACAACAAGAGACTCAACAACTTGAAGCCCTGTCATCAGGGCCAGAACTTGGGTACTTGTGAAATTGTCAGGATCCTATTCCCACTGGCCTCTCATGGATGGCGACACTTCCTAGGTTCCTCATTGATGGGAAATTGAGGTGACCTGAAGCCCTTGGGCAGGTGAGGCTGAGATTCACCTTTGCTTTACCTCAGCTTCTTTCAGAAAGAAGGAGCAGCAGGAAGAGAGCGAAGCTATTATACTGACTGTTTCAAGGCCCGGGAATGGAAATAGTTCAAATGGAAGCCAGACTGGCCAAACCCTTCATAGTGTCACAGAAAGCAATAAATGCAAAACAATCTCTTCCTCCCAGCCCCAAATATGGAGAACATTTTTGCTTGTTTACACTCCCCCTAGCAAAACTAATACTGAACCAGCCTTAATAAGGCACTTTATGTCATTAAAACAGAACATTGCCCTGAAGCAAATTCTCAGAGGACATTAACAAGATATGACTCCTGGTTATTTCCAGTGGGAAGTCTTCTGTTGCTATCTAGATATATTAATGTCATCGCAGACGAGTTGCCTATTATAACACATTTCCCCTGGGAACCAGGGGACATTTTAATAATTATTGAATTATTTGTGGTTCACATAGAGCAAAGAAAAATTCTATGAGCAAGACCCCTTCTGTCACCAAATAACTAAATACTTAAAAAAAAAAACCTTTTCAGCCATGTGCTCCCAACCCCATCCCTTGATTGAGAAAATTTGCTAAAATTTATATTAGGAAGCAGTTACTTGCTTCTGATGAACTTATTTATGTTTTTAGTCATCTGTGCTTTTGTAGACTTTACCTAAAAAATATCTCATCCATCAGGAATGGGTGGTGTAGAGTGATTTGGTTGAATTTTATCTGAGTCCTTTTATGACACGGGTTTTCCCTTCATTTTCTGTTTTTATTTAAACTCCCTCCCATGCCACCAACTACTCTGATGGGTGGATTCTCAGCCCACACTCACTTCATACTGTGACCCAGAGAGACTTTTAAAAATTCCTCCCGAGACAAGCCAAGTCTTAATCTGAGAGGGTGAAGCCCTAGCATATGCATTCTGTGAAACCTGCCCAACTGATAGAAGCAGGCTGTGGAGAGGGCCTTGATAGCCATGGGTCCAATTTCAGCGCTCCCTACAGAACTGCTCTCTCCCAGCTAAGATTCTCATCATTAAGATTATTCATTAGGAGCAATTCAGAGCTTTACTAGATATAAGCATGCAAAATTGGTCAAAAATTTAAGCATTAACTGTTCCTTTCAATAAACCATTAGACATCAGCAGAATAATCATCCCAGCTATCCTTCTTTTTTATTATTTTTTATTCTCTTTAATAGTTTGATCAATCTTACATTCTTACATCGGGTAATCTGAGCAACTTCGTTGAAGATAACAATATGTAATATAACAACCACTGTTAATTTCTATCATTCTGCTTTGAAACCCTGAGTCATTTTTATTGTTTTTGCTTTGTTTTGTTTTTGTCTGAGTTGTGATTATTTTGTTATTTTTTCATTCTCTTTAAAATAAAAAAGAGAAACAATAAAAAGAAGATTATTCAATCATTAACTACGTATCATGCAAACTATTAGAAAATACCAGTTGATGTCTAGGAGAATCTCACAACCTGAAAATGAGACAAATATCAGGTTGCTATGATTATGCAACAGAAAACAGCACCTGTGTAATCATATGCACATTTGGTGCAGGAAAGAAAGAAGAGAAAAAGATGGGAGGGAGGGAGGGAAGGAGGGAAGGAGGAAACAAGCAAAGCAAGGCACAAGTTCACTCTTTCAAATAAATACTGCAGCTCTAAATATGCACAGAATTTCTAGAAAGCTACAGTGGTAAAACAAAATGCTCTCGTCCTGCTCTTGTCCAAGCACCACCTGCAGAATGCTGAAAAGTCTGTTGTATCCCACACACGGAAGTTATTGTACCATAACGCATTGCCCACTTGAGTTTTGGAAATTTTGCGTTTGTTTTCTGAAGTAAGTGGCCCCAGAATCCACCGCACTTTTGAACATGCCCTGACACCCGAGCCCATTCTGTGTCACTAACCAGGTGACAGTCTCCTCGCGTTCCACGTGCTCGTGGGCACCCGGTCTTCTCCAACAATGCTCTGATGAGGCTCCTGGAGTGGTTGAGGGGTGGGTGATGACCAGCAGTGAGAACTCGTAGTATTTCTGCCAGTTGGCCTGGACTCCCGGGGATGGTGCTGTCCTGGACTGAAGGTGTGTCTGTCTCCTTGCAGGAGACAAGGCTGAGTAGAAGGAGCAAAGGCACCCCATGCACTGACAGCTTTGTCCAGAGGCACATTTCCACTCTTCCTTTACCCTGAGTCTGTATTGGACAGGGATGAGTGGGTGGCTGTTAATGGGATAAACCTGTAAGGAGAGGAATTTCTGCGGTAAAGGGGAAAAAAGAAAGGCTTCAATTATTGTGCCTAAACATGTTTGAAAGGCCTCATTAATTGGGTGGCTAAGCTGGTTTGGAATGACAAGCTGGTCCTAAACCACAGGGGGTCTGTAGGTGATTTATAAACCCAAACAGCAGGCAGGAAAATACCGTGGCTGTAGACTTGCAACTTGGCTAACAGTTAAGACACCTATTAGGTTGTCTCTGCCTGAACTAACCAGAGACAAACATCGGGAAGAGGGAGTGTCTGCCTTTATCTACGGGTAGTACCAAAACAGGACCCAGGACTGGACCAACTTCATCCTATCCCATGGTAAAGAGCGCCTCTGTATTTGTATTCTTCATCATTAAACTAAGCAAATAAGAGTACAGAGAAAAGAAATGTGAATACATTACCAATATAATTTTAAGTAAAAATGCCTTGGACAGGGAAAAGTACTAAAAGAAAGTGGTAATATTCAGGGAAGGTTGATCTTTCTTTTCCCTTTACTAATAATCAAGATTCTGGAGAATGAAGTATTTTAGAAAAGCAAGAGGATTTCAAGACCACATGAGTGTCAGGAAAGGTTTTCAACCAGTGGTCACTAAAAAGAGCTGGAGATTACTTTTGAGCCAGTCAATTTCTGGAGAAGAAAAACAAAGCTTTTTGGCTGACATTTTTAAGGAATGCAAATGTTAACAATATCTCTCGTGTCAGAGCCTACCCTCAGAAGAGCTCAAGGCCTTGGGACCGTAGCAGAGATACTGGGATGATATGTAGGGTTAAAAAAGAGAGAGAGGAAAAAACAGATAAAGTTTAAGATTCTTAGGCTAGCATTTAAAAACTGACATAGGCTGATACAAGCGTTTCTAAACACAGGTCTTACCTTAAGAAAGATAAATGATTTTTTATCTGGAGCGCTGCAGCTTTTGAAATCTCGGAGAGTGTTTCGGGGCTTCAAAGTCCTGTTTTTAAAATTCCTTGACTGTGCGCTGGGAACCGGAGGGGATTATTTCAACCCAGAGACGTTTTCAGTTGCTATGGAGAGCTGCTTGGAAGGTAACAATGAAGGTGGATAAAAGTAGGGACTTTCTATCTTACAGATTTTCAGGATAATTAAATTAATGCGGTTAATGAATTTGTCCCTTTATATCAATGTTTCACTAATTTTTAAAAGAATCGTCCACAGCCTCTTGCCTTTCCAGAGACGGAGCCTAGGTCCAAAAATATGTCATCATCTTGCATAATGGGACGTCTTTAGTATTCCATCAAGATTTTTTCTTTCCAGCTGATTCTGTGATAACTATTTCATCCAGACTAAAACCCAGGATTTGTTGAAAAGATACACTCTTTAGAAACTTATTGATATCACAAGTGTAGAAATTTAAAAGATTTAAAGTATTTGGAAATAGAAGTTTTCAAGCCAGGCATGGTGGCGCATACTTACAGTCACAGCACCCTGGGAGGCTGAGGCAGGAGGATACCAATTTCACGCCCAGCCTGAGCTTCTTAGCAACTTAGCAAGACCCTGTTTCAGAATTTTAAAAAGTGAAAAAGGGCTAGGAGTGTAAGACCATGTGAAGGCCTTGGTTTTAATTTCTTATACCAAAAAGAAAAAAAAAGAAAGAAAAAAGAGGAGGAGGAGGAAGAGAAGGAGTTTTCAAAGAAAAAGCATATGCTGGAGAACTATAGTTCTCACCTGAGAAGTCAGTGGATGTAAACAGGGAACTTTAATTAGCTACACAGACCATGAGCCCCACAGTCGGTGGAAAACTTTATTATATTGGACACTTCAGATCCTGCAACATGCAGCCTCTTCACAAATTAGTGACCAAACAATGTAAGGAAGAAAGTGTTAAAAATAATAGGTGTCAAGAGAAATTAAAATTCAGATCTTAGAGTAGACAGAGAACATGCAAAGAGTATAAAGTTCATGAAGCTCAGAGTGATTTCAAAGACTACAGTGGATGGATAGAAACTATTGAGTTCAAGAGAGTGTGTGTGTGTGTGTGTGTGTGTGTGTGTGTGTGTGGTGCATACGTGTGTGCAGGAGATAAAGGCTGTTAATGGAGAGGCCAGGAAAATTACGAAAGAAAGAAATTGAGATAATTAGTATCATGAATCACTAACTGGATACAAAAATTGGGAGCAGGGTGGAATGGTGCTCAGGGAATGCTATTATTACTGATAGACATGATATCCCTTAAAAGGGCCAGGCATTCTCTTTCATCCTCTGCCATGGAGCACTCTACCCTACTGCCAAGGGAAGCACTTGGCCTCCGTCTTGAGAGTTCTACGGTAAGATTAACTGGAGGCAGAGTCCGGAATGATCAGAAAGAGACGGGGTTAAATTAAAGTTAAGACCTTTATGCTGAGGGTCCAGCGGAGACAGAGAGGGCAGGAGGAGGTGGGCTGGTGCAGATGACACTGGCCCAAAGCTTCCTGCAGCCTCACACTAGTACTCTTTGCCACCCTCTACAGGGGGGACTTCATGAGTGTCATTTACCAAGTCAGCCCTGGCTCCGTCTCAAGGACTTGGTTAAAAAGTTCCTATGGAAAAATAGCCAAATATCTGTTCCAAAATTAGCTGCCCCTCCTACCTGATAGCACCAATACCCTTGCTTTGTGCTGCTCCTTGCAGTTATCCCTCACCTGGCCAGCTGAGCAGATCATTAAAACACTCAAGCCCCACTGTGTATAACCAGCCTCATTACTTTATGATAAGGTCCTAGTTTGCTCTGACCAGTGGTCCCAGGACAGCAGCCCTGCTGGGACACTAACCAGCTTTGTGCTTCCCCATCCACTGTTTACCTGGAAGTCGCACATGCTTTCAGATTCCCTGACCCAGGGTTGTAGCTGAAGACTTTCATGCTCTGCCTGCTTCCCCAAGAAGCCTAAAATAAATCTTTCTGAAATGTGTTTATATTTTCAACCTAAATCAACTTCCAGGGGTAATGAGTGTCATGTTATAACTGTGTAAGGTAGGAGCTAATTTAGTTTTGATTGACAATCAGTTGTAAGATATTTGACCCAAACTTGGGACCAGTACTTCCCAAGGTGGAGGCGCCTTGTTCATGCTACTCATAAGTGTTCATGCTACACTCAAGTGCTTGGTCAGGTATTGAGATTTGGTCTCAAAGGGACCAAATCTATGCCATTTTGTACTCCAGGGCCATTTTAAAGCTGAAGTTTCTGTTGCCCTAAGTTTGTTTCTTGTAAATGCTGTCATAGTTGCCTAACCTAATACCACCCCATGCTTCATCACAAGACTATTCCCTACCTAAAACATCAAACGCCTTTGCTCCTTTGTCACAAGCAAAGCCCATGCTTTGTAGGAGTATTTCTGTAGCTACAATAGATCATATCAGAAAAAAACTAATTATCCCCTGCCCAAGACCCTGAACTAGATCCAGAACTAGAGCTGTATAACTGTTCTCCCCTCCTGCCTTTCAGATCAGTGCTTGGTCAGGTATTGGATGCCCACTGCTGACTATCAGTACCACATGTTCGCATATGTACCCTCCCTCAGTCCAGAAATAATTTAAAAGGGTCCAATAGGGATCATAAAATACAAGATAGCAGCAAATGAAGATTGAAACAAGGGTAGAGTCATCTTGTGGCTATAACTCAAGGTAACCATGTACAGTTTTACAGGTAGAGCTCTATATAGCTCTACAGATCAACATTCATTTCTGCAATAATCATAGATGTTTACATTTATTACAACAATGTTCCAGCAGATGTCTTGAGGAAAGGCAGCTTTTGTTAATTTGCACCCATGCACACCTTGATCTAGTGAGAGAATCCCGAGTGCTTCTCCTCTTCAGCACCCAGCCAAGGCATTGTGGGGCCATCTCTGGCAATAATAAGAGGCCCCACAACTATAAGATACTTCCGGTCCCTGCTACTCTCCGTATCTCCCCCTCACGCCCCAAAGATGATAACCTCTCTAAGTAGTAATTACAATAACATTTACTAGCATTTGAGTATCTTTCACACCTAGGCACTGAGCAAAGCGAGTCTATATTTTACCATAAATATCAAATCAAACCTAGTGAAATCCCCACTGCACGATTCAGAAACATGTACAGTCCCATAGGTAGTAGGTGCCATAGACATCCAGGCCTGTTGATATCAAAAGCAGTGCTTGTATGACTAAGCAACTGTTTGCTGCAGCATAGCCTCTGTTCTTATTTCTAAATCTTCTTTCCAAGGCTCCTTTCTACAACGCAGTGTAGGAAATACATGAGTGATTCAGACACGTCAAGGAAATCATCTGCTGATTTTGCTTCTCCCAAATTCTTCCCAAAACTCCTTCAGGCCAAATATTCTCTGAAAAAGCAAATAATGAAAAAAGTAAAATTTTCAAACAAATAGAATCATCAGCTCACCTCTTCTGTAATTCTTGCCAACAGGACTTATCATCAGGCACTTGAAAGAAATATTACTATTTCTGCAAACTCTTTTCTCAGAGTGTAAACAGAATATCCCACCGAAAAATCACCGACAGTCTTATAGTCTTATTTATCTAGCTTTGCCAAAGTTATCATATTTCCAACAGTGAGAAAATGTCAATTGTTTTGAATTTAGCTCTTTGGATTGTCATTGATTTGGAAGCTGGCAGTAAAAATGATAAACAAAAAATTGTACATTTCATGTATAATTCTCAAACAATATTTTTCTTTTTCTTATAAATACCTGAGTACAAGAAAATACCTGAATATGATAAACACCTGAGAACAGGAAAAAAAGTCTCTTGATCAAAAATGAAAACAATTAACTATGATCTTTTGAGCTCTCTCTGTTGTTTTAACATAATTTGTATCATGTGTGCACTTTAGAAACTTATTTTTCCCTACTTACTATACTGTATCCGTCTTGTTCTGTTCTGTTAGTAATTTTAAACATTCACCTTTCAGAGAAAGAAGATGAAAGAAGGTGACATCGAAGTCACCCTACAAGCCCCTGGCTATCTGCCCTTAGAGCCAGGAATGAATCCAATAAACACCTGTCTCTAGGAGATCAATTCCATGAAGGTTTCTGTTGGTTTGAGCTGAGTGCAAACACTGCTACAGCTTGAGGCAACAACAACGTGTCCTGTCATTTTTTTGTTGTTATTTCTTGAGCTGACATTTTCGGTAAAGATACTAATGAGCATGGAGAGTTGGTGTTAGGAGTCATGGTACTCCCACAGTGACACAGCTCCTGTCTGAGTCACTCTGAGCCAATCCCTGTGTGAAAAAGACCTGCACTGTATTTCCATACAGCAAACTGGCATAAACTTGGTAACTTAGACTAAGACTGTGGGTCATCCCAGTTTCTGAGAAGCAGGTGACCTTACAGGGTCTGTCACAAGGCTGCGAAACAAGTGTACCCAGCTTCTCTTGCCTGGGCTTGATCCTCTTTACAGCTCACATGATTTTGTAACAATGAAAAAGGGATTAAGACCCCACACACACACACTATTGGCAATATGATGTGATTCGATTCCCTGTGTGATTTTTCCCTTTGGACTTTTCCCCGGACTTTCTGCATGCCCCACTATGGATGACCCATCGCTGATTTCTCTGTCACTTTCAGCTTGTCCATCAGGTTCTCAAGCCTCCCAAGGTTCATAATGTGCACCTTTCTGATTTCCTGTAAATTTCCTTCATGGTGCTGTTTTCCACAAAATGTAGAGGTTACAGATGTGTGATCAGAAAACATGGCGGAGGCTGCTGTACCCCTTCCAATGAAAAGGCAAGGACTTTTGATACAAAAGGCAAGTGGCGTGGCATGGCACGTTGAACCTCGGTGACAGTATGTGACACATTTCAATTTGTTCATCGTGAGCTATGGTTGAAAGAAGGTGTGGGTTGAAAAATGGACAAACGGTTTCGTAATTCATCATTATAATACTCTGTGTCATACATCAGGCTTGTGCTGTAATTTCTGTCAAATAAAAACAGTACAGTGTATACTCACTGCAGTGGACTTGGCACTGTGTGACTTCTGACTCTTGTCCAAAAGTGAAAGTGACGATGAAAATATATGTTTTGAATTAATTCAGTACTCAATAAAAGGACTTCCAGGATTGCTTCAAAAAGTAGCGGGAATAATAGGATAAGGATGTTCAACGTGAGGGTGAGTATTTTGAGAGGGATTAACTGCAATGTGTCTTTTTACTGCAATAAATTTTTTAAAAATATAACAGACATCA